GAGCGTGTGGACGGTGATTTTATGCCCCGTGGTCGCTACGTTTTGAAGCGGTTGAGACACGGGGGTAGGTGGGATGACAGTATTGCGTCTCGTGTACGTAGACGTCGTGTCCACATTGCGATCGACACGGGGGCACGTGACATGCGGCAGGACCTGGTTGTCGTGTCAGAGGACGAGATGGGAGATCCTTCCAACGAGATGCAGCGCGACCCGGTTCATGCAGAGGAGCTAGCCTCGAACACTGATGTGATAGTGACGGAGGAGGATACAGGGTTCAGGATCACTCATCCCCGGTCGCCAGCGCCGGTTCTTGGCACAGAGGAGGAGACGGAGTTCGGAGGACCCGGTCCACTCCGCCAGGCGCAGACTCGGTGCACTCCAGCAGGCGCCCCAGTCCACTCCACAGGAGCGGGTTTGGAGGACGGCGAGGCACGACGTGAGCCGCCTCCTCACACGAGTGACGACGGTCTAGAGAAGGGAGAGGTTGCACCCACTCCCACTTGTGGAAAGGACGGGAAGGACGAACGTCCTCCGACGGACCACCACGTCGGCCTCGACTGCCCGCCCGACAGTCTTCCGCCCACCGACGAGCTATTCACCATGGATTCCGCCTTGGCATCTCTGCCCGGTATATCGCTACTGATATCTCCCACTTTGCCGGTTGTGGCACCACCGGAGCCTGCTAGACGAGATGACGCGCGTCATGACAGAGGGTTCTACGAGTTCGGCGGCGACACGATACAACATCCTCCAGAGTCCGGCACTCCCGCCATTTTTCATGTCGGTGCACCGTGGGCGGTGGAGCAGGGGTTGGCGGAGGAGGTAGCACGGAACCGTCGTGGTGGACCGCAAGTCGCAGCTCAACGTAGTCTGGAAGGTTCACTAGAGGCAGTGTCTGGAGATTTTTTGGCGCAGGGGGGTCATGGTTCGCAGCTGTTATCGAACAGCGTGTCATCAGTCCATCCACCAGAGGAGGGCCCGCATCATGAGCCACATAGAGGGTCAGCGGAGACTTTAGAGGCGAGGCCTCCCGGAGTTATCCGCTCGGACGGAGGCGAGGGCGTGAGCCAGGATACAGCGCAGCCAGGGAGCCCAGATGGTGGACGGTTTTTCAGGGGGGGCATCGAGCGCAGAGGGTCATCGACCGCACACCCCAGCATTGTCAGGCCCAGCACACATGACGTTGGAGACAGGCACACAGATGAGCCTCGACCGCATTTGACGGGGATGC